TTGCTTGATCACTGCAGATGAAAAATGGGTCCTGTATGATAATCCGAAACGCAAAAGGCAGTGGCTCTCTCCGAATGAACCGCCACGAAGGACTGCTAAGCCAGGTTTACATCCGAAAAAGGCGCTTTTGTGTGTTTGGTGGGGTATTCGTGGAATCGTCCATTTTGAAGTGCTTAAACCAGGAGAAACTGTTAATGCAGACCTTTATTGTGAACAATTAGATCGAGTATATCAATCATTAATTGAAAAGTATCCAGCGATTATCAATAGAAAAGGCGTTATTTTGCAACACGATAATGCAAGACCGCACTGCGCAAGAAAAACGCTGGAAAAAATTAATGAATTGGGGTGGGAGGTACTGCCTCACCCACCATACTCGCCCGACATTGAGCCATCGGATTTCCATTTATTCCGTTCGCTGCAGCACTTCTTAACAAACAAACACTTTCAAAATTTGGTTGATACGAAAAATGCCATCTCCAGATATTTTACTGAAAAACCAATTGATTTTTATCGATCCGACATTGAAAATTTGCACACTAGATGGCAAAAGGTTGTTGCCAACGAGGGTGATTACACCATTGACTAAAATGTAAAACTTGTAAGAAATTTATTTATTCGAATTTACTGTAAAAAAACGACATTATTTTCCGGTCCCCCTAATACTACTACTATTACTATTGCAGCGAGTACAGTGACCAATTAACAATACATATACATAATAATATCCGTGATAATATACACAATAATTTCTGTTTTACAATAGTATTAACCTGAAAATAAAGAATCTGAAGAGAAATTGTTGCAACAAACGAGCTTTGTTAATATATTGATTGCTTTCCGATGTTTAATATTTACGAGAACTCTTTTTGCTAATGATATTATTAAATACTCCCGTAGCTATTTCGTCAGATCATATCGTAACGGAAGTAATTCAAATTGTCAAATATACAAAGTGATTCTTAAAGCACGAATTTATCGAAGAATCGTTGCATCGAAAATTTTCTATAGCGATACATTTATTATTTCTAGTAATAATTCTGTTTAATAATAATTATAAGAATTTCTTTTCCTAATGAAACCTTCTAGTATTCTTTTGTCTGTTTTTTTGTCTAAAATCATGTTTTTCCACACAACATTTAATAAAATTTTGACAATTAAATCGAAAACTGTATTCAAGATTATAGCTTTCAGCACTCGTAGTAGAAATGAAATATACAGGATATTCGCTTCTTGCTAACATGCCTATTATTCGTGAACTATCGGTAACGATGAGCGCGACACGAAATGGTAAGGGGTTTTAGAGCTTCTCAAAGCTGTCTGTACGGATCCTAAGTCTGTCGAAGACTGTGGTTTAGACCCTTAATGCTGTTGATAAAATACAAAATGAATAACAAAAGCAACAGTAGCCACAAGTAGCGCCATCTATGTCAGAGTATTAAATCCTCAAAGTAATGTGGATAATTTTGGTCAACAGTTTCAGCGTTTTACCACTATGTGTAATGGCGCTATTTTTATATTTTATGTGGCAAATGATTTGTATCGGATTTGCATTGTATCTCATGACAAAGCGGCAAGGATTATCCGTTCTCGATATTTGCATTTAAATAATTAGCAGTAAATAAGCTTTTTTTTGACAGAAGAATTTTCTGAATATTTTTGTATCTCCAGCATATTCATTTAACCGATCATTGTTCTATAAGTTTAAGGTCGGGATTAAGTAAAAATGATATTTCTTCGTTATTTGACATGATATAAAATGAATAAATAAACATAAAAATAATTCCTGGTATATTTATATTAATTATATTTTCTACATTTTGTATTAATTACGCATTTCTTGCATTGTTCATCAATATACATTTTGAGATTGATTTAGACGCTTTAGGTGTGAGAGCTTTTCTTTTTCTTACGAGCAAAATGTGAGGAAGACAATCGAAGCCTTTTGTAATAAACTATAAGACTTTAATAATGTTATACAAGATTTTCAACATTCAGGATGAAACTTATCTTTTGCACATTAATTTTAAACGTACAAACTAAATTCTTATATATTAATGTTTTTATTTTCTTCCGAGTTTGTTTCTTCCAGATCAATATTAATTCTTGTATGGAATTTAGTAATGAATAGACAATAAATTCTGCTACAAGGTTGCAAAACATGTAGAATTTATCGTTTCCAAACGAAATTTTACTATTTCAGAGCTCTGTAAAGTTTTATCAAAATTGTATTTCTCGAATAATTTTAACATGTAGAATGAGACACAAATAACGAATCATTGTAAAATAAATTCTCTTGGAATATTAGAACAAGATACCACGTCTTTTTTTTAGAAGAAAACATGAAACTGCTCAAATAGAGTACGCTATCGGCAATTTTTGCTTATTATGTAGACTGCGGATCTTGTTGCATTTATGACGTGTTTTCAAACTGCAAGATAATGGATATATACGTAATATCGGTTCGGAAAAGACTTTGTTGCCACGGAAAGTAATTTCGGTTCGGGAAAGACTTTCTTGCCACACGAAAAGACCTTCTTCCCAAGCGAAACGACTTTCCTGCCAATCGAAAAGACTTTCCTGCCAACCCAAAGGACTTTTCTGTCAACCGAAAGGACCTTCCTGCCAACCGAAAGGATTTTTCTGTCAATCGAAAGGACTTTCCTGCCAACCGAAAGGACTATCCTGCCAATCGAAAGGACTTTTCTGTCAACCGAAAAGGCTTTCCTGCCACCCGAAAAGGCTTTCTTGCCACCCGAAAAGACTTTCCTGCCAACCAAAAGGACTTTCCTGCCAACCGAAAGGACTTTCCTGCCAACCGAAAGTACTATCCTGCCAACCGAAAGGACTTTTCTGTCAACCGAAAGTACTATCCTGCCAACCGAAAGGACTATCCTGCCAACCGAAAGGACTTTCTTGCCACCCGAAAAGACTTTCCTGCCAACCGAAAGCACTATCCTGCCAACCGAAAGGACTTTTCTGTCAACCGAAAGGACTTTCCTGCCAACCGAAAGAACTTTCCTGCCAACCGAAAGGATTTTTCTGTCAACCCGAAAGGACTTTCCTGCCAACCGAAAAGACGCGCAAAAGATGGGTTGCAGATATGGCGACGAAGGACAAGGACTAGAACCGAAGCCTATGAGGAAAATTTCCTCCTCTCAAGTGTACGAAGGGAACCGAGTTTTCTTTCCGAGGTTCCAGAGTCAGTCGTTGCAAAACATTCTTGAACAAAGAACTCCCTAGCACGCCATAAAATAAAGTCTTTTAGTACCCGATCAATTTTTAGTGTCCAGTGTTATTAGTGATATTAATAGTGATATATAAATTGTGACAATTAATATCGTTCTTTTTAATCGTTTAATATCGTGGCATCAACAAAAAAATATACGTCGTTAACTTTGCCTAAGCTCTTCTCCACCGCACACCACACGCATCTTGGTAGTAAATTACGTGCAACGTCTATCGTCTTTGATTTTATTGTCAACAGAAATATCTGTCCAAATATATCGTATATCGCGTTTGGTCTTATTTTAATTTCACAACTATCAGCAATATGTTAAATAAGGTCAGTATTAAAATGTTAAAATTAAAATAAGTTATGTCATCGCACTATATGAGTTGTCTTCCGGGAGTTCGAGTCAAAGGAGCCGCGGCGCGTGCCGCAGCATACGCGTTCACCGACACCATCGAACCTTAGCATAGGGAGAAAATCGATAAATTAAAGGGCCGCAAGAAAATCAATAAATTACAGGGCCGTAGCAAAATATCTCGGCGTCAGAATTGGCATACTCAAGTTACGCCGAGAAGAGAGACATTACTGTATTAACAAGGTCTCGCAGTGTAGCGCCGTGCTTTTACGACGCCTTTTTGACGCGCGGGGATCGAACGTCAACCCTACCGGGGTTGTAAGGCCCGGGCTTCACTTGTCTGAAGACGCGTCGGTTTTGTAATGGTTATCGGTCCGAATGACCGACTTTGAGTGAATGAGCGATTGAATTCCCGAGTCGAATGAGTCTCCGGTTGCGACGAGCGAGTCTCCGAACGATTGAGACTGTTCGACGCACGGGTGAGACTCCGAATCGAGAATGTATCTTTTTGAAGGCGACTGTAAGATGGTAATATTGCTTGAAAACTACTGAACCGCTCTTGAACCACTACTCTCTCGCCTCGACTGCTCGCGTTTTTTATACCCTTTTCCCCACTTGAGATTCTTGAAGGAACCTCCACCTCCATGCCTGGATGCGCTGATTGGTTTTTCTCGAAAATTACGATTTCCCAATCAGCGTCCTCCGAACGTTTCGTCACCACCCTCTCGTACCGTCCTGCACGGGCCTTGTCTTGAAGAGGGGTGCGACACGTAATTGCGTGGTTGGGGAGGTCCTCCGGGCCTTGAGATGTCATCCCCGCGACGGTTGGGACTAACTTTCCCAAGACGCGTTCAAAAATCTCAAGTGTTATTGCGGGAGGTTTTTTCGGGCCTTTTGGATTTACGACACGTCGCGATCATTAGAAAAGACGGAGACACTACCCGGATGTTCGGCAGCTGCCAAAAAAGGTCTCCGTCTCCTCGGATGACCCACGCTGGTCCGTGCCATAAACCCTTCACGAGAGAGGTCTGCGGGAGGTTCTACGTGACGGAACACGCAGCATTTTCATTTTTTTGTCTGCAACGCGAGTAACCTTCTACATAACGAAGAAAGAAAAGTTCAGTTCAAGTGAAAGAAAACATTCGTTTAATTGTAATTGTTGCGAAACGACGTATGAAAACGATAATTTCCGTAAAGATCCGCAGTCTACGTATAACGTCTAGTCGCGTGGAAGGTATAGGATGGACGTGGACAAGAAGGGGGTATGAAAAGAAACTGCACCCCGTCTCTCATTTTTCTGTAATTTATAATTAATGGTAAAGTTTTCTTGTTTTATAGTAATTGAACAGTTATTAATAGCCTAATTAAATTCCGATTAATTTTATACAAACAAAAAAAAAGGGCGAGTTAAACTCAACGGCGTGGCACGAACCCCTGCCACCCTCGTGTTCGCGCACGGAAACGAAAGGAAAATAAAGAAAAAAAAAAATCGTAACTTCTGTTTCTCTGTGTATCGTCGCCATTCGTTCCTCGTATCACGCATCTCCGCGTTGCGATTTCCTTGCAACGCGCGTCATCGCCGATGACAGAAGAATATCGGACTCGTTCGCATTTATTCCTTGCGCGTTCGTCCATCCGTTCGATCATCCTCGCACGCACGCTCGCCGCTCTGCTGCTCGAGCATTTTTCGCCGCATTCTCCTGCGATTTCGAACGTCGTAAAGCGGTTCGACGAGAGTCGAGACGCGATCGAAATTGAAACGGGCGCGCGTCGACTCGTTCGAACCGTTACAGAGTCGCGGACACGCGCGCGCACACGTTCATGCATACACAGACGCATACACACGCATACAGTTTTCTGTATAAATAAAAATATGTTCCATGAATAACGCGAAATGTCATTTTGTGTACACGAAAAAGAATAACCGCAACCACACGGCTCACCGCGCATCCATGCACGCCGGAGGTCCACCGCTTCCGGTGCCTCCGTGTTCCCATTCGCT